AAACCCTATAAGCCCTAAACCCTTAGAGGTCTCCTGGTCTGGATGGTCGAAGCCGAAGAGGCTCACGGACTCGCCTGCTGCAAGCTTCTCGGCATTGGCGGTCAGGAAGTCCTGGGGTTGAGGGTTTAGGGTTTAGGGTTTAGGGTTTAGGGTTTAGGGTTTAGGGTTGAGGGTTGAGGGTGTGTAGAACTTGTATAGGGTTCAGGTCCTGGGTTTAGGGTTTAGGGTTTTGACCAGGTTGTGCCTTCTGCCTTGTCTCAATCTTACACTGCAGATCCAGTTGTTGCGTTTTTTTGTTTTTGCAATTTGGATGCATTTTGCACTGCAAATCCAACGTTCTGCATTTTGGCGTAACTTTGGTGCAATTTGGTCGGTGTTGAGCGAGTTTTTCCTTTTGCCTCCTGTATAGGGAAGCTTAAGTAGCGAGGATCCTGCCAAGCTGTGGGCCTTGGCTAGTCGGTCGGAGAAACGCTCACATACGCTCACCTTTTGATGGGGTGGTGCATGCAGTTTCGATTTATCATTTGCTTGAGGGCTTAGGGTTTCGGGTTTAGGTCGCCCATCCCCGTGCCCCACCGTCAGGCCTGGAAAGAGAAGGGCTCCGGGATCTCCGTGCTCTTGTCTTGGCAAACCTCACAAAGGGGCCCCTTGCAATGCTGACATACCTCCCAGCCCTTGACCTTGAAGCCAATGCTACGGGGTCGCAGGTCGATCTTCCTCCTTCCAGCTTTGAGGTAGCTTCGCAGCCGGCGAAGCTTCGAAAGCCTTGTAAGCCTTCGAGGAGCTGTTCTAAAGTTCGAAAGATGGCAGAATCGAGACAGCAAATGCACCTCGATCACGGGCGGCAGGTCCTTCCCCAGGTCGTTGCACCGGAAGAACTTTTCCCAGCGTACCTTGTCACCTTAAGGGAAGTTGATGTTCACCTACAGGCCGCCGCTAGAAAAGACAAAGCAACATGGAGACACGGCACAGGTATTGAAGTCCTCGTAGTAGATCAGACCATCCATCTCCTGCAGCCCAAAGGAAGAGTGGGCGAGTGCCCCGCTGACTTGCGACCTCCATTTCATGCACTATTCAGCGTCGATGCCGGGACTCGTGACAGCCCCGGACTAGGACCTCTGATGTTCTTGCTTGAAGCTGTTCTGTCAGTTGAGCCGCGTTTCAAGCATCAATTCCATGATTGTGCCTTAGCATCTAGAGCTTGCTTGCTGTGAGTTTCCTCATTCGCTTGCGTTTGCGAGTTTCCTGACAGCATCCGTGGCTTTGCCGTCGTTTAGTTCAAGTGTGCGTGTCATCACACTTCGTGCGGATCCGGACACAACAACCGCCCATACTTACTTCTAGACGAAAACCCCGCTTTTCCGAACTTTTGAAGTCTTCGGATGCCATGGATCGCGCAGTCTCTTACAAGCCGTTTTTGGTTGACCTTTTGGGTCTTCTTCGTTCGCTCTAGTTCCTGCAGTCTCGGATGCCTGGACGCAGGATGATCAACGCAGGATGATCAATTTCCTCACAAAGAAACAACAGTTCTAGACTCCAGTTGTGCTTTTCAGGGGGCTGGGCTGTGAATGTCTGGATGTCTCCTATGCCATATTTATCCAACTCTGGTGGTTCGCTCTAGCTAGAAACCTTATCCGAAATCATATTATGCCTACATACACCAAACCTCCTGCACTCCAAAAATCTAAAGTCCAACCCGAAACCCCTGAATCCTATCCTGACCCTGAAAACCAGTTGTCCGAAGCTTCGGTGGAAACCAGCGAACGGTACCCAGGGTGGAAGCCGGCGGTGGCTAAACCGCTGAAATGTCTCCCCCCCCCGCCCTCTATTTTGGGTTGTGGGTTTCGGCGTGAGGGCTGTTGGTCAGGGACACACTTTGCCAGTGACAGGACGCGTTCTTTCAAGATTGTTCTGATTGACGACATGCCCGTGACCACCCCGGGCTTGGAGCCTTGTCTTCTCGTCGCCTTTCCACGACCAAGCCGAAGGAACCAGCCTGTCAGGGAGGAGCACTTGGACAACGAGACTTGTGCTTGGAGCAGCTGATGAGGAATTGTCAGATCTGCAGCCAAGCGCACGTGAGCGAGAGAGAGAGAGAGGGAGAGACAGAGAGAGAGAGAGAGAGAGAGAGAGAGAGCGAAGCTGTACCTGAAGATTAGCGGTAGCGCGGCGTTGCACATGGCAAGCAATGTTGGGCGAAAGCTGAAACGTTCCCGAGTCCCACAGGGCCTCAGGTCTTTGTGGTGAGTGAGGAATACGGGACGGCAGGCAGAAGACCTGACCCTGATTGATCTTGACCTTCGGGCGCAATCAGAGCAGCTTAAAACTTGAAACTCCAGGACCATCTGAGTGACAGACCAGCTTCCTCTTGCCTTTCTGCACAGTTGGCAGCTGGATATTGCCGCGAAGCTGGAAGAAGAACTCACTCCCTGTTCGCACGAGTGCAATGGACTTCATCCGAAGTTGGGGCTCTGCTGGGGCACACAAGTTGAGAAGTCGCACTGGCCCGCCTTCCTCCAAGTGAAAGTCCTTGCCTTGCAGCAAATCCATCTTCTGATTCGGACATTCTGTATTGACCATTCACATCAAGTGGCGGGTGTTAGGACCACCAACGAACCTCGTTGCCGGAGCAGTGGCGTTGAAACCGCACATCACAGAAAGGCGACAAGAGCAAGCACTTAGCATAAGGCATGATGCTCAACTGGCCCCTGTGCATCAACTTGTTGCAAACAGGCGGAGAGAACTGCGCCTGCGCGATAAGAAGCCCACCCACTTTCATGAAGGTAGGACTGCCGGATGCAAGTGTGATAAGTGTGATGTGTCCTTGTTCTGCTCATACCAGTCCTTAGAATGCGAACCAGCTAGCGGCAAGCAACAACAAGAGCTTTTTATGCAAAGTGTTCTTGGACTGCTCCAGAGGAGGGCTGAGGATTAAGCATCGATATGGTGGAGCCTCAGCAGAAAAAGCAAGCACACTGCTCACCCACATGTCCTGAAAACCCCCAGAGCTTGCCACGCGCAGATGCCAGCTGGAACCACAACACCATCTGTCCTCGTCGGGGCTCCCGACTTCCCGCAGATTTGCGTAGAGCTCTCAAGTGCCCGTCCTTGCCCGCTTTGCGGGCGGCTCTGCTTGCTGTGGGGCATCCGACATGATGACGCGATCAAGGAGCTTGAGCCCAGAAGGCAAGCCCGAAATTGCAGCATGTGACTTTACACATGCGGAAGCAAAGGATGCGGAAGGCGGAGGCACCATGCGAGCTGCACAGCCTGTACCGTGCGGAAGTAGACCCCCCAAAGCCTCGGCTTCGCAAAGAGTGCGCAGCTGAAGCCCTCAGACCTGAGACCCAGAGACCTGAGTGTTCACCTGGCTGTGAAGCTGGCGCGAAGACTGTGAAGGTGGCACCGGTGATGCTGAAAGCTGCGAGTGCGACCTTGAGCGTTGTGCTGTACCCATCACGGGCTTTGAGGCCACTGATGAAAGGAAGGCCTTCTCGCCGAGGCTACCCTCAATCTGTATATACCTAAGCAGAATGTGCATCCCACGGACTACAATCAGCCCAGCAGTGGCGAGACGAGAACACCCCACCAACGAAAGACGCGCAGCGCACAATGGCAAGACGGAACGGCGACACCTCTTGAAGGTGCGCTCCCACCGTCCCTGCACCGACTTCTTCACGCATCTCGTTCCGACTCGAGGCTCCACATGTTTCATATGTTTCACGAACAATCGTGTTCTCTCGATCTCCTTTCTTACTTGTAGCTCCTGCGACAAACGACTTGCATGTTGCACGAACTCGGCCAACGAAGCCGAGCAGCAAGTCCTGTTCCCTGTGTAGAACCGCGTCGCAGGCCATGCTAATGAATAGTAAGCACCTCGGCTCTGCCAACGAAGTCCACGTTCGCAGATGAGGCTCAGGCTCAAGAGGCTAGCGCGATGTGTGTCGCTGGTCTACTTGCGCCTGCCAAGCTAACACCTCTTGTCCAAGAGCTAGGGAATGCGCCGGAGTAGGTTCAAGCCTCAGCCCGAAAAACACATGCTGTGACGAGCTTGACATCGCATTCACAAGGCACTGCTCGACCAGACTCTCAGAAATTCTGGGCCGCATGCTCAGGAGGAAGTAGGCCCCAAAGCTCAAGCTGCAGCCGCAGCAGCCTGCGTGTCAGCGTAGCACCCCTGCTCTGAATTTGGAGGGAAGATGCTAGTTCCTAAGGTCCTAAACCCTAAACCCTGCACCCTGAACGCCAAACCCTGAACCCTAAACCCCACACTCCTACCCCCCTACACCCCAAGCTAGTGAAGCCCTCTCTGCAGGCGTGCGACATTGATGCGCCAGCTGCATAGTTGCACTTGCCTGGCTGTTTTGGGGGGCTTCAGAACCTTGGGATTAACGTACCGGGCTTCGTTTACAGTTGAAATCCGATTTTCTTTGTTGACGGCCCTTTTGATGACTGCAATGCAGGTCTCAAGCCATCCGGTTTAGGGTTTAGGGTTTAGGGTTTCCGGGCCCCCCCCCCCCCCTTAGCTGCTTCCCCTCATTATCGGAGTTTAGGTCCTCCTCTTTAGGCTTCTCTCTCAGGGTCCCCACCATTTTCTGAAACGCTCATTTGGGAATTTCCGAAAATCAAGGGTTCCTTTTTTTGGGGGTCCTTATAATAAGATCCTGTTATTTAGGGTACTATATTACGGTCCCCTGTTTTCGGAAACCCCCATTTGGCTTCAAGTAGCAGGCAGGAGCCCCAGGGCAGCACGCAGCAGCACTGCCCCAACAGCCCAACACATTACGTTGAATACGAAAGCCCATGAGCCCTAAGGCCAACACACAACCAGGACCATGCAACCCGGATCAAATCCTTCAAGAATGCGCCGCTATAGTAGAACAACAACGCTATGAGACTCTAAAATCTCTGGCCTAATGGGCCTGAAGGCGTAAACCAGCCTGTGCGACAGGCTCCCTTTGCAGCCACTCCCCTCCCTCCGGCCTCGAGTTCGTTATTGACGGATAGTCACGTACTTTGCAAGGTAGTCACGAGAGGATGGCGTAACTCTTGAGCCGAGATCGGTGCAACGAACATTAAGTTCAATCTTGCAGGAAATTGACAGCCGACATCACTGATTGCATGGGTCACTTCACCACGCTAGGATCATCCAACAGCTGACGGAAAGAGCCCCAAGCCTCTGATTTGGAGAGGGCGCTGGTAAAGCTCCGCGCTTCAACATACCAGGACTGGCAGGGCGGGAAGTCGCCCCAGGCTATGCTCGGCTAGGTGACATCACCCCGCTTCTGACAGTAAAGAGAGAGACAACTTGCGATGCCATCGATACTTCAAACAAATTACTCGTCAAAGACTAAAGAATCTTAAAGAATGAGAGGCGCAACATGCAGAATCACGACAGCAGGATAAGCCGCAGGGACTGCCGGAAACTCCGCAGTACAGCACCGAGCAGCAACTACAAAAGGCTGGAGGAAGGAGCCGGCAAAACATGTCACAGTTGCGCGAGTCTCTGAGCCTGCCTCCCGGGTAAGTCGCTCCACAAGCATTGCGTCAAAGCCCAGTAGCATAGATCTGCCAAGGGAAGCTGTCCGGTCTCTACTCATATGGCTCTCAGGATGGAAGACCAGTGGAATAAACGGTTCAGGTTCCATGCCCACAGGAATACATCTTGTCAAGACTAGCAGTGAAGATGGCCTCGGAAGTGTTTTCTCCAGCTGGGTGTACCGCCGCTGCAACTGGATGAGCTCCCAAGCAATCTGGTGACATGAACAGCATGCCCAGCATCCCACATCAGTCACGGAATCCCACACTCTTGCTTGCAGATTTGAAACCGGTGGCTGCATTGTGGATTGTCCTATGCCTTGTGCAGCATTGACAGTTGACCGATGCTCGCCTTGCCTTCAATCTCGCCAGCTGAAGCTGCTGCGCATCCTTCTGCGCCTAACACCAGCAGGGGCAGAGTATACACAGCAAGCCAAGCAAAGCCCAACAGGGCACAGCCGAAACACTGGGATCACAGCGCGCTGCTGTCTCAGCTGCGCAGCGTGCGAATGAAGCTTTGCCTCTTGTAGATGTTGTTTGGGCTGGGGCCCTCCAACTAGGTCTCGCCCAGCCTCGCTGGCGCGTTGGAGATCTCCCCTGGCCTCGGCGGCTCCAAACACCAAAGCGTCTCGATAAATCTCGGGATCTCCCAGAACCCTGCCTCTGTCAGAGCAGCAGAGTGACTCATGCTTCGGTTCAACTCCTGTCAATTGAACTGCTAGTCTCCTCTCGAAAGACTCCTGATGGCACTGTATGGCACTGCATAGCTACCCCGCGCTCCACGTAGCTTTTCGCTCGGCTGGCAAGGTACTCGCGACCTGTCAGCAGAGTCGTATAGGCCAGGTCTCTGGCTTCAGCACAGAAGCATGTTTGCCTTCGGGAGTTTGCTCGAAGAGCTTCAGCTTTCGCCGACCCTCCTGCAGATCATGGGGCACAGCGGGCTAGAGTTCGATCTTTAGTGACACTACAGACATTTAGCGAACAGAAGTAGCCGCAGAAAACGGCTGGTTTTCTGCAGGGTTGTCTTTGTACATGCCGGGCCGTCTCTAGTAGGCAAACCAGGAAAATCATCCGAGAGAAGCTCGACCAGTACATATCGAAACTCGTCGGGGGGAAGGAAAACGCGCAAGAATTGCCCGTCAAAGCGTGCGGGTTAGGGCTTGTCATTTGAGGCCGGAGGAGGGAGGGAGGAGGGGGGAAATCGTTTGGTTCAGGATGTCATTGGAACCTTAGAATCCGTCTGTGGGAGATGTGGAGTTGGTGGGGTTAAAGGTTGTTGAGGATTTGGGAATCCGGGCATCAGGTGTGCTCCAGATTGCTGCAAGCGGGTCTGTTATCCGAAACCAGGCACATGCAACATGCAACCTCACAACCCACAGCATCCTCGAGGGATCTCTCCAGGAAGTCTCTGAAGACACGCTGCGTAGCTTCTCGCATCTCCCTCTCCTTGCCACTGCATTCAGGAGTCCTGCGAAACCCACGAAGCAAAACTACCCGCCTTCTTCTCCAGGTGGCGAAACGCTTCGATCTGAGTGACCTATCTCGGCAACTCACATTATCTGTGCCCGAATCTCCGGCAAGTTCAACATTTTGCCAGCTGCCAGCCGCCCTGGCCATTCCCTTGTTTTCTATTTTTCTATGCCTGATTTTGTCTGCAGAGATTGCTGCGGCGGGCCTGTGCAGCAACCAACTCGTCTGCTGTCGCCTGAGGTCAGGCAACAAGCACAAACGAGACCCTGAGCCCTGAAACCCTAGACCCGGTTCAGTCGAGCTTCTCCTCTTCACAGACACATCTTGGAACAATTCCGAAACCCTAAACCCTAAAACCTCGACTTTCTAAACCCATGAACAAAAGCTGATGCGGGTTGGCGCCTGCTGGTCACCTTCGTGAACCACAGGCCGGGACTCCATAGGAACGCTGCCTGCACAAAGGAACGGCCCTTGGGGTGTAGAGGTTAGGGCCCTTTGGTTGTTTTTGGGTTTAGGGTTTAGGGTTTCGGGCTTAGGGGGTTTGGGGTTTAGTTAGGTTTCTTAGGGTTTAGAGTAAGGGCTTGGGATTGAGGGTCGTTGCCGCAAGCATGAGTCACCAACATTATTTCAGGACATGCAGGAAACGCCCCGGCGCACCTGATCGTTGCTTGGGCCCACGGCTTACCTGGCAAATGACCCGGATAGATCAACAGCAGGCATTGGCTTTTCCGGAGCCTTGGCAGGCGCCATGGGCGTAAAGGTACACTCGGATAGCTCCTGCACGAAACTAGACGATCATTGCATCATAAGTCACGCAATGCACCACAAAAAATCCGGTAGATGTGTACTTCCCTCCAAGACATGCGAAGGCTGCAAGCCTGGAAGGCGCGCAGCCGGGCCTGGCGCAAGGCTTCAAGGCTTTTCTATGCTGAAATATATCTCGTCGCATACATACTTAAACGGCCTACTAAACCCCTTGTCACTGATCACTCGGTGATGTAGTATTGCCTCAGAGCGTTTCTTCTCCTGGCGTGTTGCTTCGAAGCTCTGCTGCTGGTTCATCCTGTCTGCATACCTGACAGTTCCGCTACTCCCACCGAGGCTCAAGAGGCAATACAGAATACAACTTCTGACTTGCTTCGGGGCATCTTGTGATTCGTAAGTCCCGGACCAGTTTTGAAACTCCTCGTGATTGAAATGCCTTGGGCTGCACGTGTTGGCAATGCTCTTCTGCAGCTCCTCCTCCTCTTTCCGCTTCTTTTCATCCATCTTCGCTTGCCACTTCATTTTCCGCATCTCATGATCCTCGTAGAGGTTCTGGTACCGCCGTCTCTGCGAATCGGATCGAGTGACGACACAAGCATTCGGGGTGGATGCACGGGGTGATTGGCTGCCGGTGCGTGCTGCGTAGGGCACCTCCCATGGGGGCTCCTCATCCTGCTCCTCACCCCGGCCACGCATTGCCTCTGTAGCCGTGTTTTGGCGGCTCCTTGCTCTGGCACTGCTGGCACTGCATGCTTCTGCATGCTTTGGGCTGAAGCTTCGCGATCGCTGTGAGCGTTGCGAGTGCACGGAACGGACAGATCGAGGAGACGTGCACGTCTCTTCTTCTGATTTGGCAAGGCTGTACCTCGAGGCATACTGACTTTGTCCTCTTGGCGATGCTCGCTTTGGGCTTGTATCTTTGGATGTTGGGGTTGGCGCTTGGATCACGCTGCCCCTCTCCACGGAGTGGTGACTTCTGAGTGAAGCCGTGGAGTGATGCTTGACCATCACGAGCGCACCGGCTTGTGGATACCCCGATGGCTGAGGAAGCGCCGACCGCAACGTGGTGCTTGGTGCCGCCTCACCGTTCGGAATCACTCCTGAGAAAAATCGGACAGCTGGTGGAGTGGCGCAAGGGGTGACCTGTGGCGTCTGCGAGTAAGTTGATTGCTGCAAACTCCCTGTGCTGTAGCACCGCTGCATCCCTGTGCTTGCCGGTGGCAAAGCTTGCGGCAGGCCTGAAAGAACTGAGGCACTTCAAAGCCGCAGTCAAAGCCCTACGCCATGCACCGGCAGACCGAGACACGAGCTGTGCACGGGGGTCGCCTGCAGGTGTATCTGATAGGCAGCATCACCAAGCCCAGCTACACAAAGCGCCATTCCAAATCCGAGTACACATGCTATGGCACCTTCGCCGCCACCAGTGGCACACTGCCCACTGCCAGCCTGGCCGCGATCTGTCTCTGTCATGTTTGTCATACACCGGCGACTTGCCAGTACAATGCAGCTGAGACGCGGCATGGTGCGAACCTGTGGCGCAGGGAGGGGCAGCTGAGGCTGAGACCTTACCATCAATCGTCGACATGCGCAAACTCTTACGCCAAGGCACATCAACCACTTGCTTTTTCACGATGGGCCCCCTTCCTACCAGTGTGGAAGCTCTGCAATGCATGCTTGCAGGGGCTGAGTCCCTGGCGCACTCGCCACATGCTGTGCCAAGGGCGCCGCGCCGAAAACCGGAGCCGGCGCTGGTCGAAGCATGGCGGGTGTCAGAGGTTTGTCATACAAGGCCTGAAACATGATCGTTGTGACGGGTCCCAGCTTCTTGTCAGCATGGGGTGGTGCCGGAGCAAGCTTGGGTGGCGGTCCGTGAGAGCTGTGCATCGGGATCCGAGCCTGAAGGATGCAGACGAGTGAAGCTACATCTGCCCCATTCATCTTCAGATGCTTCGACTGTCGACTCCGCACAGATTTCTGTCACTCAAGCCAGCGCTCGTTGTAGACCAACAACTCCTTCCATCAAGCGGGTCACTGATCGGACCAGTGACCTGCCAGAGACTGCTCCTTGCTACTTTTTCTGAGCCCTGGCCCTATCTCGAACTTCCTTCTGACGAGAGCTGAGCACGGCGCTGCTTCTGCACGGAGGAAAGGGAAGGCTCCTTCCTCGCAGGCGAGACTAAAAGATGCCGGCCTTCACGTACCGTAGTAAGTAGTACCGACCGGACTTCTGGATCTCTCCCAAAACATGGCCAGAGGAGGCTTCCTCCTCCAACCGCTGACACAAGGCCAGGACCTGCAGCGTCAGATACCAGTCACTCGCCTCTGCTCGAGGGTAGGTGCGCCACTTCGAGGTAGAATGTAGTGTCGCTTGTTACAGTGGCCTAGGTTGATGCATGTGTTGGCAAGCCGTCCCTCTACTGCTCTCACTGAAACGTAGAGGAGCCTGTTTTTCGTCTGACTCCGGCAATTCAACATCACCGACAGACCCACCTCTGCCTCGACGTCATTGCCCTGAGCACATATATGTGCTGCTTTCCTCAGCAGAGAACGCAAAGCCAGGGAGCTGACCGTGGCGGCTTTGAAACGAGCGCGGGGGCTCTGAGAGGACCTGGCACAAGCTGAGCCCAACTGCGAGTCTCCGAGTCTCGCCTGCTTCCAGTGCTGCTTGGCCACTGAGGCTTCTTCCACTCGCGTTGGAGCTCTCCCAACTCCTACGCAGCCACGATTCGACGAAGCAACCATAAGCCTACAGGCCTACAGCAGTGATCACGGATGTTCACGGCCTCACGGCAGCATCGCAGCTCGACTTGGGCCTGACGCATCGGAGCTCAGCCTGGGGCCTTGGCCTTGAAAGTCCGCGCTCTGCGAGTCGGTGCCTGCGAGGCCTCAGCAGCATGGTGTTCTGCCCGCTCCTGTCAGGGACCCAGGGTTCTGGCTTCAGCTGGCTTGCAGTGCGCCCGAGCTTCATGCTGGCCTCCGCTGCTGCGATCGACTCATCGCAAAGTCGGCGGCACCGGTCCTGCTTTTGATGGCTACTCTTGGATTCGGCGCTCGTCTGGCTTGCACTACCTTGCTACATTCAGACCAGCGCAACGCAGCCGGTGTTTTGCTCGGTGGGGAGCAGGAGCTGAGCGGGGATGCTCCCGCGAGTCCATCATCTAGGCATTCCACTGCAGCTGTTCAAGCTTCTGCTGTTCCATGCTGTTCCTGTGCAGTCAATGGTCGCTGCAGTTGCTGTTGCAGCCGTTGCCGACGCCGCTCCTCCTGCTGCTGCTGCTGCTGCTGCTGCTGCTGCTGCTGCTGCTGCAGGACCTGGCTGTTCGTGTTGGCGAGTCGACTGTGTTGTTGGGACAGCAATGTCTGAATCTCCTCCCGAAGTTGCCAACCTTCACGCTCAGCCTGACGACATGCGAGTTGTGCCCACTTCGCGTTCGGAAATCTCCATGAACAGTATGAAAGACTTCCTCAACTCGACCAAAGGCCTCCATTGCAACAAGGGATGCCTTCAGGTGACCTTGTCGGAACATGGCGATGCTTTGCCGTGGTTTGCCGGCCAGAGGTAAAGTCACCAAAATAATACTGAAGACTAAGCGGCCCCTGCAGCGAATGGACTTGAAAAGGGTTCGACTGAACAGCATCCTGATGTCATGTAATGTATCCGAGGCAGAAAGGCCAAAGAAACACAATCCCGACGATGACAGCAGCCATCTCTGCTTTCGACGGACCCAGAACCGGGAATGGCCCGGCTCCTGTTTACAAAGTTCAAAGCCTCTGTCACGCAGCCCTAACTTCCCGTACACTGTCGCTACGATTAATATATGTATGTATATATATATATATGTTGCAGTTTATTTAACCTTGTATATTACATCAGTTTCGAGGATCCAGCCAAGCTCTTTCCGAAGCGTGGCTGCCGCGCGCTCCGCAGCAACCCGACGCCGGGTCTGATGTTCCACCTCAAGCCGATGTGCATTGTGTTTGTATCTATACGCGCACACACGGAACGTCAAACTGCGTGGCCTCACCAGCTGCGTACTTTACAGCCATTCTTGAAACTGTTGAAATTATGCAGCTTTGTAGTTACGGATGAGTTGCAGGACCGTCCTGTTTTGCAGGATTCTAGGAGGAGATTTGGCGCACCTTCACAAATACGTCAACTTTCATTCCTGCCGCAGCCCACACGAAAGCAAGAAGCAACATGCGGTTTCGCACTGGCTTGGACACAGCAGACTCGTGCAAACCCGAAGTTATCTTCGCCGGTCTGAAGAATTATCACACTCCAATGCTGCTCTATAATGGCGTAAGACCAATTCGTTGTCATGGACCCAGGCACAAAGGCTGTCAGTTGCTCAGGTTTCAACTTGTCAAGAAAATTTGAAAGGGACTGACGCCACTCCCATCCTGCCTTCCTACAAGGAACGAGTCGACGACTTTCTTCGGGTTGCAGCAGGAGCTGTTGGTTGTGGGCACTGGAACACTGCGCTGCCAACGCTGCAAACGACAGCTCTGCAACTTCTGCTGTAATGCTCTCGGGGAAAGGCACCTGTGGCTGTTTGCATCTTGCAAATATTTGTTCGTCATAATATTCAAAACCTTGGACAGCTCACACACAGCAGCCTCGTGGCGTGCATCGTCAAAAGATGCCTCCAAAGCAGCACCTCGGAGCACGGAAGTGTTTTTGCGTAGCTTTATAACTCATCCTGCGAAACGCATTGCCTGAAGGGCCCTCTTGCAGACATCACGAGGCCTCCCACCCGCCTGGGGCCTAGAGAATGTCTAGTCCAAAGTCCACCAAAGAATCCTGTGAGCAGAACCTCACTTGATACACTCCACTCACTGCCGTTCATGCTCACACCATGCCACAACCATTTTGCAACGGGCACATGCGGTTCTGTTGTTCACTGACGACCGGTAAACGGTTGCAGTGCATTCGTTAGCAGTGGTGCCACTCGGCGCGGCCTTTCCGGACGCCACCTTAAATGGAGCAGCACCATTCGGCCATGCACATGCCATGCCTTCGGCAGTGACTTCGGTGCGGGGAGAGGGGGAGCGCGGAACACCTCATCAACAGGTGTCGAGCACGGTTCCGTTTACTTGGGGAAGCCCAGCCAAGTGGTCAAACCTTCAGGCCACAGACTCTATGCTAACAGCGTGATGGCACTTTAGCCGGGCAAGATCTACTTAGGAATATTCAGATTATTCAGCCTCGGCGGTTTCCTCACAAGTGCTGCTGGATCCAGGAGGCCACCAGCTTCAACTGAGCGGAGGAAGTACGAGATTCGATCCGGTGCTCTTATCTGGCCTACCTAGCCATTCCGACATCATGAAGTCTGGTCAACTGATCGATAGACTGCTGGCTGTCACTGAGCTTCGCGCATACTCTTCCTGGATGACGAAAGTTAAAACATGAAGCCCACCTGAGGATACCGAAAAAAATGTCAGTCACCGCTCCCTCTTCTGCCACTCCCCTCCCTAAACCCTAAACCCTAAAACCCTAAATCCCTAAACCCTAAACCCTAAACCCTAAACCCTAAACCCTACTCTGCCTGCGTCGACTCGATGCATGACCTTGTCCTCGCAAGCGCTCAGCCTCATCAGCTTCTCCGAGCCTTCCACCATGCAGACGCTGTCCTCCACAAAGGCACCAAAAAAAAAAGGGACGAGGGGGGCTTAGGGTTTAGGGTTTAGGGGTTTAGGGGTTTAGGGTTTATAGTTTAGGGTTTAGGGTTTTGGGTTTAGGGTTTCCTCCCCAGAGACTCCAAAACCCCTTAATTAAGGAATAGACCTTAAATTATTATAGGATCCCTAACATGATTTAAGGTATATACCTTAAATCATATTAGAGATCTTAGAATAATTTAAGGTCTTTTCCTTAATTAAGGGGTTTTGGAGTCTCTGGGTCCAAAAGCACAAAAAAAGGGGACGAGGGCGGCAGGAGCCGTCTGTGTTCCTATACATCACTGCACTGGGAACTAAGAAGAACTATAATCTATAATACCCACCCTTTTTGCAAGAAGGACGTGGAGAGAGTTGGGCCGTCCTTGGGGTCGTGGATGATTTGGAAGGGAAAACGCACCTCCTTCATCTCCTCTCAAATGCGAAAGAGACGGCAACGAAGAAGCGCTGACGAATTCGAGTGCTTTCTGCGAGCTGCGCTCTCCTACTGCGAGCTCCTTGTCAATTGCGGAGAAGATCGTCGAGTATGCCGATGCAGTGCCCCAACGCATCTTGAAGAACCAGCCAAGGCCTCCAACGGCTGGCAATAAGCGACCGCTGTTAAACAACACTTGGCCGGTTGGCCATGCAAAGGATCCCGTCCTTTCTTTGGAAAACGATGAGCACAATCCACAACCTCCATCTCAGCCATGTACTTCTGCTTGGCATCGCCTTTGCAAGAACACAGGAATCTCTGCCCATATGCGGCCTCGAGCATGCATGTTCGGGTACTGCACCACGACACTTGACTGACACAAGCGATGCCAGCGAAAGCTACCACCATGGTAAGACACGCGCTGAGATCGAAATTCGCGCCCAGGTGGACCTTGCTGCTGGAACTCACAGCCTCAGCGGCATGCGACATGCGGCCCTGAACGGCCAATTCTGGAAAGGCAAGGCGGCAAGACTGCTCGAGTCCTCCATACTGCCGGAGAAAGCACCCTCGCTGTGCTTGGCGCACATTCGCTTATTGCTACTTTCAGTCCATCTGCCGCGTTGTGCTTCTAAGCACTCATCACTTTTATGCAGGATTCATTTTGATACTTTCTGAGTAGTACATCGACACACTGAAATAGCTGCGCCTCATGGATGCGGCCATTTTTGGATGTTTCTATCCTGCTTCTTCAGCTGCTGAGATCCCGTCTTCTGGCATTGGCTGCCGGGAGCAGCAAGGCACTACCTCAGCTTGTCGGAACTGGAGTTCATGCCGTGTCCACAACTCGACAAACCTTGAGATCTCTACACATACACACCTAAATACATACATACATACATACATACATACATACATACATACATACATACATACATACGTACATGCATGCGTTACGTAATATGTGTGTATATGTATGTGTATGAATCTAAGCTCGGAGCGCACCACTTCAAAAAGCTGATCACCGCCTCGTCAAAGGCTCGTGATGAAGTCATGGGGGCGAGGGGGCGCAAAGCTGCAGGATCTGGAGAGTCAATTTGGACCATGGGCAGAGCCTCTAGTAAGAGCAGGTTTTTGCTTGAAAGAGTGCCTTTTCCTCAACTCCGCCTGGGCGTTAGCCGCTCGGGATCTCGAGCACTTGTTGTGCTCCCCAAATGAGCGACAAACAGTGAAACCTTATGAGCAGCATCAGCTTGCGAACAGAGCACACCACGATGACGCACGCCCATGGCAATGTGGCCCATGGCGTGACGAAGCATCGAAAGGCTTACATACATGCAGCATTAGCATGTGCTTCAGTCATCCGCCCCAACCTGAGACAGTGCGACCCAAGCATGGCACAACCTTCTAGCCGCAGAAACAGAAGCGTCACCTCGGCGGAACCGACCAAGCTACATAATACTGCAGATGAGGCCGAAGCCCGCAACCTTCCTGCGAAGTGGGCGCAAAGTCCACACATGCCCGCCACAACCATGTACCTTACGGCTTACGGTCAAGCAGCCAGCTGACCTGCCCGTCTTTCTGCTAGCCTTCTTGTGCTTTGGAATTGTGATCCCAGGTGCACGAAGGGGAAGAGGATGCCAAGCGTAGGGCTGCCCGACCCGAACCTGAAAGAAGGAACCCTAACCCCCCAGGGTACCTACTGTATAGGGCCCTATATGGGGGCTCTGGTACCCTATATAGTAGGTACCCTGGGGGGTTAGGGGAAGGTCAAGCTGGACAGAAAGGCGCAGGCAGAGCCTCAGGGCCTAGCATTGCCGTGGACCACACCAGCAGGAAGAAGATCGAGGTGCCGGAGAAACACACGAGCGTCGGCAGCACCACTCCCTTCGACACAGGGCATGGCAGGTCGCACTCAGGCAGCCACCCTTAGATATACGGAGCCAGACAAACAAGTCAGCAGCAGGAACCGGCCTTCGTGTCTTCCCAGAGTGCCATTCGTTCGCGATTTCACCGACTTGTTGTTCCTTTTTTGTGCTGCCTCCTGGTTACAGGGAATCTGTGAGGTAGGCAAACCTTCGAGCAGCGTGTTCCGGCCTGACTAGACTGCCCCTCTTCGTGCATCCGTTTCATCTTCGTTCCGGGGCGTCGCAAGTCTGCTTGTGCTCTGATGGGAGAATTGGGCTTGATGGGAGCATGGATGGAGGTATGAAATCTGAAAGCCTGCACACGCCGGTGCATCCAAACACTAAGACTTCCGGATTCTGGGCAGAGAGTTCAGAGTTGACTATAAAAAGAGCATGAGGAGCTCGAGCGTTAAGACCACGGATCTTCAGACTGTTAAGCGTATTGACTTGAGGTTGGTTGAGGTTGGAGTTCCCTTAATCCTTCAGGGCCAGGGTGTTTGGGACCGACCCTTCTCCGGCGAAGAAGAATGCCGACCTCCCCCGTTTGACACGCCCGACCCATTGAACTCCAACATGTCGCTGACATGCTGTTCTTGCGATCAATCTGGCTGGTGCTGAGATGATGGTCAGAAAGAATACTATGAAATACAATGCCATAACGAATACGAACCATGGCAGCAGCAGCAGCAGCAGCGGCAGTGGCAGCAGCAGCAGCAGCAGCAGCAGCAGCAGCAGCAGCAGCAGCAGTGGCAGCAGCAGCAACAGCAGTGGCAGCAGCAGCAGCAGCAGCAGCAGCAGCAGCAGTAGTCGCGGTGTTCACATCATGAGAATTGCCGCCATCATACATGCATCACACAGAAAGACGGATACAAAAGGAAAGAGGCAAACGAGTACGAACACGTTCCTTGCTACAGCATATGGGGCCTTCGGCTTGCGACTTTCCGACCCCTCGCTAGAGCCTCTTGCAATGTCCAGTGGATTGCACGATTGCACTTGCATTGGTCAATCTTGGCCACAGAAACCATACAGCTGTGGGTCCTGGAATGAGGCAGCTCGACAGCGCATGCAGCCATGCTTCTACGCTGTGTTTGACGAAGAGGTGCAAACGTAGGGCTTGCTAAAAACCTGAGCCTTCCGGCCCCTTGCGTTGATACACAGCTTTGCATGGCTTACTCACGCCTACGCTGCTCCGTACATGCAGTCAGCTTGAACAGCACGGGCTCACCGCGGCTGCGGCAGATTGCATCTCCACATTGAATAAAGGCACCCTCTGCTCTCAAGGACTGCGGAGCTTTCAATGCATGGCGCACGGCTGCCTGTGGCGGGAGGGGCACCTGGAGAGCTGGAGCCGCAAGGAGAGCGCCTGCGAAGACTCGAAGCGAAGCGAGGCCTTCGCTTCGCCTAAAAAGGGCAAAGGCAGAGGCAGCAGGGGCCAAGGTCGTGTTTCGATTTTGGGGGTATCCGAAAATAGGGGACCCCAATATACTACCCTGAATAATAGGATCCTTATTATAAGGGACTCCAAAATAAGGTACCCCCTATTTTCGGAAACTCCCATTTTGCCTCTGAAGATGCCGTCGAGCTTGTGGCTTCTCTGCAAGCGCAGGCCAACTCCGAGGCATATCCTTACTTGGAGGATCATGGGACTTAGTAACTAGGGTTA